GAGGCCATCGCGATTAGGAGGCCATAGCTACTCTGGGTGGAGGCCATCACTACTAGGGTGGAGGTCATCGCCACTAGGTTGGAGGCCATCGCTCTTAGGGTGGAGGCCATCGCTACTAGGGTGGAGGTCATCGCTACTAGGTTGGAGGCCATCACTCTTAGGGTGGAGGCCATCGCTACTAGGGTGGAGGCCATCGCTATTGGTTCTTTGCTAGTAATATTTGCTACAAGTTCTTCATCGATTCTAAGTCCCCCAAGAATTCAACATATTCAGAGTCCCAAGGAACTGGCTTTAACACCCAAAGCAGGTTCGCCCATGTTCGCCCAACAGTCAAGCAAGGCCCTCCAAGAAAAGTACCCCAATAGTTTTCAAATACATCTCAAAAAGCTTGCAAAGTGCTGAAAGTAATTAAGTGATTCAAGACATAAAGTTCGCCCAAATTGCTTGAACACCTGTCACAAAACGAGGTGCCTCTAAAGAGGGCTCGAAGCTCTATTCAAACATAATATTTCTGCCTTTCTGCCATGCAGTTTTGTTGGATCAGGGCCTGCCTGATTCCCTCGAGAAATAGACGGCACAAACATCAGGACATCTGGTCAGCTATCTTATGGTATCCTGCACCCGGTGGAATGTCCAGTATTTTCCGCTTCAGAACAGCGTGAGACCAGGGGAATAGCGATTTCCAGGGGGAAGAGATGGGAAGAGAGACCGAACCTTTCGCATGAGACCTCTCTATTGCCCTTCTGAGAAAAACGACCCGCGCCAATGGCCCTTCACGGCTCATAACCGGCCGGGGCCCCGCCCGCGCGCGGACCGCCCGCCTGTGGCACCATCACCGACACGGCAGCGCCCTTGGCGATCTTCGTCCAAGTACTCGAGGCCGTCAGCGTCGAGACCTTCTGGTGGTTGATCTCCTCCACCGAGTCACGTGCGTTCCGCTGAACTCCCGCTGGAGGCCAAGAGCGCGGGGGAGCTCGGGTTCTTTCTCGGGAGGGTGCAGGAGGTATGAGGAGGTATTGATCGGGAAATCGAGCCATCCTCAAGCAGTCGCCCATGTTGGACAGATTGGCCGATTTACAATCTGGGGCGTTCTTCTGGCGTCTCCCTATTTCAATGCACCACTCCACGTGGTGAGCGACTTTGACAACTGGTGCTCATAGGGCTAAGAATGAACTAACAAGAATCAACTTCCCAGTGCCAACGGTGCGGTATCAGCCCAAGGAGGTTCGTCGATATGGTAACCATCTAAGTCAATCAGGCCTCCCTGCAAATGTTTAAGACGACCTTCCTCATGTTTCAGCATACTCATCGCCAGGATCCCTCAAGTTAGGCATTCTTGCCTGATTTATGCATATGGCATATGGCATGACAAAGCAACAAACCACCAAGAGTGGCCAAACGCTCCTTGGCTGCTGTCCGGCAGTAGATGTCATCGCCTGACACAGGAAAAGAGTCCCTGCGCTGTGACATGTGACATCGATTTCATGACGTCTATAGCTCTTGCAAAAGTGATGTGGCCCAGTGTGAAGTTGGAAGAAGTTATCAATCGTTATCAACATGTGCTGAGCCGAAGAAGAAACACAGGACACAAGACCAAACCATTCGATCCAACTAAAAAACAAGGCCACAACATGCCACAACTTCTCGCCTTGTCAACACTTCTTGCCAACCGCGGTCCGAACGAAATCGCGGTGAGCTCATGTGGCCTGAAATTGAGATGTGGAAGCAATCAGCCTTGTCCTGGACGAGTAGCCAACCATTGGCCCCCAAATTGTCTGGGCGGAACGGTTCACTCGAAGGCGCACGCGGTTCACTCGAAAGGTGTGCCTGTTTTTGAGGTGTCCCATCTGTCGGACGGGTCCTTCTTTTTCAGTCTCATGTTTGTTTGGCGATGCACACATTGGAGAAACATGTCGTTTGCGATGCAAAAACTGCTCCCCAAATACACCAATCATGGAGTGTTTTTTGTTTTTGTTCCCAGGTGGCTTTGGGCATTGGTGCATTAGGAGGCTAATCTCCGGAAGTGACGATGGACACTTGATTCCAGTCATCACTGATCATCTGCTGTATTTATGTCTGCATTACACCAGCCATGGTGCACAACCCCACTTCTGTCGTTTTTCTGTGACGCACCGAAGAAAACCGAAGATTTATCCAGGATCCAAGCCAGGCCCTTCTTCATATATGTATATATTTGGGGGGTTAATGTAGGCATATATTAGGCATACATGGAGTGTCTGGGATATATACATATATATAAGTTTACAAAGACATAATCATAAAATAGACTTTCATGTGTGGCTCGTATGTTCATCTCCTTTCTGCTGTGTGGCTCTGATGGGTGACATGAAGAGCCAATACAAAAAACCATCGTTTCTCTCACTGCTTCTTCGTGGCTGGCAGGAATCTTATAGATGGCTCCATCCCGGTTGGCTCCATAGAGGAAGTTGCTGCCCGGGTGGATGGCAATCGACGAGACATGGCCACTGCAGGGACCAGGTGCATCAACGGGTGATACCAACAGGTGACACCCACGAGCTAGCTGCCGCTAGCTGCTAGCTCATCAAACGAGCACGGAGTATAACACAGCAAAACCTTCTTGCATCATGAAAGCCCTTCAAAGGAGACCTTTTGCTGAGAAGTTCATCTTTGGTGCTGATGTTAATACTGTATATCATGTATATATTTAAACATATATAACACAACCACCTCAGTGACTCACCACTTTCATCGACTCACAAAGCAGTCAGTGTCTTCACTCCACACCTGGACGTGGCCTGGCTCCAATGGGAACTGGCGTGCATCCCGCTAATGCTCTGGCTGTAGATCAAACCATTCTGAGGCTGTGAGACGTGGACCGAAGAGTGTTCGGCTGCACGTCGTCGAGTGTTCAGCCCAGTGTTCTTTTCCCGGTCCCGGTCTGTCTTCTCCCCACTGCACATGGCAGTGGGAAGAAGAGCCCGAAGCTCCAAACCCTATTCTGTTCATTTTCGGTGTCAACCAGGGCCCCCGGGTTTTGACCCATATCCGTATCCACAGAGTGCAGCGCGTTTCAAGGAAGAGTGGCTGGGATGGCAAGGATGGGAAGAGCGAGTGGCAATGGTTTGCTTCCACTCCCATGCCTCTGATTTTTTTCTCTTTGCTCATCCAAGCATCTGTACCCACGCCGTAGAACGTGTCGTCCACCGTATCTCCATCGAGGATATCTCCACGAGCCAAGGGGGCTTTCACCCATTTGCTCATTGTTTTCAGCAGTGAGAAGGGCTGACCGTAGAGCCTGACTGAGAAGGGCCGCCCCAATTCAAACGTGTCCCAAAAAGATGTTTCGCAAAAGAGGTTATATACTATTATATAATCATATGATATATTATATCATATTCTCAAACATTGCAGGATCTGTGGAATCAACATGAACTACCGTCCCAGCCCAAGGATGTCCAAAAGCAAAGCCGCACAGATTGCCCAGGGGTTTGGTGTCGAGGGTGGGGGCCAGGTTTCAAAAGCTGCTAAGACTGCAGGGCCGAAAGAGAGCTCGAAAAAAAAGGTCTTAAATTAAAGAAACATTACCAATACTCCTTAGATCCCCTAAGGATGGATCTGATTGGATGTGATTGGTCTGTGTCAGTGCAGTGTTCGCGGTGCGTGACAAACACGGAAAAGACTCGTCTGGAGCAAGTTCACGGAAGACTCTTCGTACTTGGGTTTTCACACGTTTTCGCCCAAGGCGCTTTTTGTCCGTTCCAACCCCAATGAAATAGTCCTTTGCACTGATCAGTGAAATCACAGCTGGACTTCCCACCTCATCCGTCGCCACGGATGGAACAACGAGTGAGCGACAGCTGAGCCAAGCCAAAGAGGAGATTCTTCTGGTCACCCTCAGGCTGTTTCTACAGTATAGGTGTTTCATCTGGCATCATGTTTCATCCTTTTTCATCCTGTCTTCCATGGGTCTTGGACACGGTCTTCTTCTTCGAGTGACCAAAAATTCATACCGGCATGGTCCTCCAGAGCTGTCCAATAGAGTAAGTCCAATAGACTGTCCAAAGAGCTTCTCCCCAGAAGTGGACGACCCACTTTCGACCCGCATCACGACGTCCCCGGAGTTCTCCCCAGCAGCGTGTGACGACGTCCAGCCCGACAGCGAACCCAACACCAGCAACTCCGTGAACCCCGAAAACAAGAGGAGCTTCTAGCTACTAGGGCTAAGCCCTTAAGTTACTAGTCGCTTCTAGCCCCTTGAGTTGCTAGATGATGTTGCTAGTAGCTTCTAGCTACTGCTCGTTTTCAACCATGATTCTTCGAGAACCAGCAACCAACGAGCCTGCCCTTTTTCCGGTGCGAATTAAGTCGACGAAGCCGGACCCAGCAGCCCAAGGACGAGCTCCCAATTCGTGGAGGGTGAAAGCCCCGCCAGTGGTTGACGGTAGATCTCAGGAAAAAAAACCAGGCCGTCAAGAAGCGGACAAACACTGGCAAACAAGGCAGGGATATTGAGTGTTGTGTCGACTGTGTCGACTAGAATCCCGTAACATGTACCTACTGTATATGTGCCTCACATCGCGGGAAAAAAACTGTTTTGAAACGGCCCCACATCGCTGAATTCAAGATAGCAGGTACAAGTGCTCACAGCGACGCATTGGCAGCCAAAAAGAGGGTTTGATGTTGAACATGACATTGTTCATTCTCACAATTCAAACTGTTTACTGAATGACATTCAATGACACAAATCGACTTCCATTTCATCGAATCGACATTTCATATATTCCGATTATATATATATACATATAAATAAAAACATAACGATCATGTCCAGGGCGTCTTGATTGCACCACGGTACCCTCTCTTTGCAGCAAAAGCACGTTATGATCAGTGCCGGTGATATAGATGTACCTGGACAAGGTTGCTGACATCTGAATCATGCAGAGTCTTCACGACCAAGCAATGAGCACGATCGGTCGTCACATCCAAACCGTCCGCTCCGGAGCGGTCCGGAACGCGGACGGTAAGGCGCGTTCTCGTTCAAGCCGGCAAAGCACCGAGTCTTCGCGGAAACGGACGGAGAAGCGGATGAGATGGCGGTGTGTTTTTGTGAATCCAAGCGGCTTTTGGGCATCTTCAGCCATCTCCTTGATCTTATCGCATTTGGGGTTCGTCTTGTGTCCTGCCGCTACAGTCCAGCGAAAGAGGATGCAGTGTGACATCGTGGTTCATCCATGTTCATCCAACTTGGCCCAAATTGGTCAATGAGTGAGACTCATGAGTGAACCACGGCAGTGCAAACCCAGAGTGCCCACGTCGCATCGGTAGACTTGCGACGGCGCCAGGAATGGTCCCTTCACATCCTATCACATCCCCTGGGAGTCAAAGACTATCAAAAGAATGGTCTGACTAGGTTGACCCGAGCTCAGGAGTTTCCTTTACATTCAGTTGGTCAAAATATAGTCGAATTGGACTTCTAGGGCATCCTTTGTCTTTCTAGGGGCATGACTGAGTTGGTCCAAAAAAATGCAGATCATACAATTACATACAAATACCATATAAGCATCCTACGAGTATCTATTATTGGGATCCACGACCCATCCGTCCGCCCGTCTCGGACAGTCCGTTGTTGAGAGCCTCACAATGGCCGCTGAGCCTCATCCTGAGGCCGCGCCAACTGGGCCCGACTAGGCCTTTCATTCCTTTTCCAACAACTGGATGTGTTTCCTTCCGGAAACAGATCTAGAAAGGCATCCCTCTGCTGTTCAAATGAACACACACACAAAGCATGTCTCAAAAAACAAAGAACTTAACTATATATATATATATCTCAAAACAACTGCCAAGAGCCGCAAGAAATCCTCACCGCCTCACCACTTTCTTTCTCCGGAATGATGCCGCAGGCCGGCCAAAGACAGACGCTTAAGCATACGGCATGCCATTCAACTGTCAGTGAAAAATAAACGCTGTCTCACTGTCATGATCTAGCTGCAAATTGAAATGAATATGATAAACAACATCCTATACTTGGTCAAACAAATGCTAGGCCGAACACCATGTAGAACCACACAGATTCAACCAAAGGACCAAAGGGTCTGTTCAATCTGCATTGACCATTGACGTTTGAGAACTTCTTTCGATTCTGTGGATGCTCCAGTGATTTGACATGATTTGACCACTAGAAGAGACCGTACATGGAGGCTGACTGGGTACCAAGGTCTTCCAGGTCTTCCAGGTTCTGTGAGCTCCGAGAGTAGGCACATGGTCACAAAACACCCGTCGGGTCGGACGTAGCTTCACCAGGTTGAAAGTTCAACCAACTCCAGGTTGGAAGCCTCTAGCGATATAAAAAGGAACGGAGAAGAACCCAAGCTAAGACTTAAGAGCGATGGCCTCCAACCTACGGATAGCAATGGGCCGACCGGCCTCCAAACGAAGAACAACACCGTCAAATCCTTTGGGCTGCCGAGGTGCCAAACGTGGCCCTTCCAATAGCACACCTGCCGTCGTCTTCGTCGTCGGTCCAACGGAGTGTCGGACATCGGGTCGGTGCACGAACTGATGGAACTGTTCATGTCTTCGTCTAAGAAATGGTCTATGCTACCGAGGACCGTCCGTTTTCAGGGTGTGGCTGGAGATCGACCTATAGGTACTGCTTCGGGTAGTCCGTCGAGCGCCAGGACACCCCGAAAACGGAGGGTGACCATCCATCCACTTGGAACATCCATGGCCCAAAAAGCCTGAAAATCCAAAACCAACACTGCTGGTGTTCTTGTTTTCAATGATGTCTTTTGGGTCCAAAACTGGATGAAGGGTGTCTACACAGTCACAGAGTGGTAGACACAATGGTGCTGCCTTTTTCCATGGTTTTTTCGTTCACAGTAGGGCTGAAAGCACCGAGGAACGACTCAAAACGGACGATGAGCAAATGGACTTAATGGTGTGGGAAAATGAGATGTGAAATAAGACGGCATGATTTGTGACGCCAGGTGAGTTATGGTGAGTTGTGATGTGGTGAGTTATGGGTCATTGCCAGGTGATGCGTTTTGTCCGTGTCGCGCAGTGACTTGTGTTGCGGCGCAACAAGCACAGTGCTGTGGTGAAGCAGACTGAGAAAACGGAGCATGCACGAGCGAGGAAAACCGCAATTCCCTGGTGTGAAGACTTGAGTGGTGGATTTGTGATGAACGCACCCCTCGATAAATACTTTTTTGAATCTTTTTCCCGAAAGCACTGCGAAGGGTTCTTCCGGAAAATCTCTTGAACACTGACACTTCTACACTTACACTTGAACACTACACACACTTACACTTGAACACTTACACTTCTGCACGTACACTTGAACACTACATACACTGACACTTGAAGACTTACACTTCTGCACTTACGCTTGAACACTTACACTTCTATACTCACAATGGCACAGACGTATCCAAGTGAAAGTTGTAAGTGAAAGTATCCCAGTGTAAGAGTGAAAGCATCCAAGTGCAAGTATGCAAGTGTAAGTACTCCAGTGCAAGTATGCAGGTGTAAGTAAGTATCCCAGTGCAAGTATGCAAGTGTGAGTATGAAAGCTTTCACGGGAGATAGCCTAATGAAAAAACATTTCCCCACTTTATATTAAATTCTCTCTAAAGGCGGAGGGTGGGACGAACAGCGTCAACCGAAAATGGAGCCCTCTGCGGCAATCGTGCGTGTCGAGGGCGCGAGATGCAGGCGAGAGTGCGATTTGTCCGCGGGGCGCGCCCTCTGCGGAGATCGTGCGGGTCCAGGGCGCGAAATGAAGGCGAGAGTGCGATTTGTCCGGTCCGCGCGCAACCCTCTGCGGAGATCGTGCGGGTCGAGGGCGCGAAAACCAGGTGAGAGTGCGATTTGTCCGGTCCGCGCGCAACCCTCTGCGGAGATCGTGCGTGTCGAGTGCACAAAATGCAGGTGAGAGTGCGATTTATCCGGTGCACGCGCAACCCTCTGCGGAGATCATGCGGGTCGAGTGCGCGAAATGCAGGCGAGAGGGCGATTTGTCCCATGCGTGTCGAGTGCGCGAAATGCATGCGAGAGTGCGATTTGCCCCATGCGCGCGCAACCCTCTGCGGAGATCGTGCGGGTCGAGTGCGCGAAATGCAGGCGAGAGTGCGATTTGTCCCGGACGCGCGCAACCCTCTGCGGAGACCGTGCGGGTCGAGTGCGCGAAAGCAGGCGAGAGCGCGACTTGTCCCATGCGCGCGCGTAGCTGGGGAGCTGGAAGGTGAGAACTGGCGACTGGCTAGTGCAACTTGAGTGCGCGGAGTATCTGGGGAGCTGGAAGATGAGAACTGGGGACTTGGTAGTACAACTTTAAGTACGCGGAGTATCTGGGGAGCTGGAAGATGAGAACTGGCGACATGGTAGTACGACTGTAGTGCGCGGAGTATCTGGCGAGCTGGAAGATGAGAACTGGCGACTTTGTAGTACAGCTGTAGTACGCGGAGTAGCTGGGGAGCTGGAAGATGACAACTGGCGACTTTGTAGTAAAACTTTAGTACGCGGAGCACCTGGGGAGCTGGAAGATGAGAACTGGGGACGTCATAGTACAACTTTAGTAGGCGGAGTCGCGGAGTAGCTGGGGAGCTGGAAGATGAGAACTGGCGACTTGGTAGTACAACTTGAGTACGCGGAGTATCTGGGGAGCTGGAAGATGAGAACTGGCGACTTGGTAGTACAACTTGAGTACACAGAGTATCTGGGGAGCTGGAAGATGAGAACTGGCGACTTGGTAACGCGGAGTATCTGGCGAGCTGGAAGATGAGAACTGGCAACGTGGTAGTACAGCTGTAGTACGCGGAGTACCGGGGGAGCTGGAAGATGAGAACTAGTGACTTATAGATACACACACACACAGACAGGGACTCATACACACACACAGACATAGATACACACACACACAGAGACCCACGCGCTGCCTCAACACATAACTCACACTCTGACTTCATACGTGATGAAAAATGCTTTCGGGCCACTCGTCGTCTAGTTGATATATACTTCTCTCGCAAAGTCTCTTTGGCTAATTCACTTGTAAGTACAAGTTGATAAGCTTTTGGATACTTTTCTCCATACGTACACTCCTTACTGTTTGACGCTTCTTCTCTACAATCTCTACTCTTAAGGATACTTTTGGAGACTCCTCTTGACAACCCTATCTGGATAGCTCTACTATATGCTCTACTAATATTCACTCTAGAGAAGCTCACATAACTTGATGGTTCATCATACTCTCAAGTAATCTCCACAAACCTCAACCCACAACACACGACTTTCGATTACACACGACGTTTGGTCCAGAATCTGTTCGGATCATCCGATCCGGGAAACCTCCATTCGAACCACCTAATTACCTTTAGTTGCTACCTCTCGGCTTCCTGCGGCCGTGGAATTCTGCACGCGTCCCGCATGCATACTGCGGGCGACGCACGGTGCTGGGCTTCGCGGCCCGGTCTCCACAGCTCTTGACCACCAATACGCGACAGAGTCGTGGGAAGTGTCCCGGTCGACGTCGCTTCATGTCGGATCGAGTCACTTTGAGAATGAGGAACCATCTCCAGTTGGGCAAGGTCTCAAGGGGAAAATGGGACGTGTTCACCAAAAATCAACACACACAGCCAAGTAGCTGATTGACTCATTTTTCAATCTGTCTGGAATGACTTTGCGACTTGAGAGCCTTCTCACGGTTGATCAACGAAAAAGACCGTGTACGAATACGACTCTAACTTTGCAGCTGTACTACTCATTGGTTCCAATACCCATGGTCCCTGACCCCCAGAAAGAACACAACGGGTCCGCGGTCCCATGACCCGTCCGACCTCGCTCGACCGGAACGACTCACTGCCTGATCGAGCAAACCATCACCGTTGCAGTCCTGCGCGTGACGCGCGCAAACCTCGCGCGCACGACTCACCGGACGGGCGAGGGCACGAATTCGTGGAAGAACACGGACCCTTTTCAAAGGACCGTTTTTCTCCGCAAACGGCCTGAAACGCGGGTGCGAGTATCTGAAAGGCATTGGTGTGTGTGTGTGTAACCCTTGGAATCATAGGGATCCTTTAGGATTTTCAGGTTGCTTTTCCAGTTTATGTCATAGCAGGGGGTGCAAGCAGCCCATCCAGTCTTGCACCAACGAAGACACTGGATGTGTGCTGGTGAAATCAATCCGGGACACCGGATTGACGTACCTGCTTGGAAAGAAACCTACTTAATGGACAAGCTGTTCCAACTCTGTGTTTTGCAGTAAGCGGCTAATGCAGCGGTGATGAACTTGGCTTTTCTGCACGTATGTCGTCTCCTTGTCGTCCACTCGATCGGTGTTTTTCTTTTGGAATTGCTGGCCACCTGAAACCTTGGGACCTCCGCTGGATGGACCTCCTCTTCCTTTTAGATTTCTTTACCTGTACCCTTAGGAATTGGAACCCTAGGCCGGCGTGTGGCACCGCTTTCAGTTTAGTACACCCTATCCTAAGTGTGTTTGGCCTCGTGCCAACCCGGGATGAGCCTGCAGAGTGCCTCCCGTGGACCCGTTGAACGGGGGTACGTCGAACGTATCCACTGCCCGGATACAGAGCAGCTCGCAGCGAGCGTAGGTGGCCTAGGCCGTGCGTACGATGATTTTGTCTCATCTTTGGAATTCCAAGTTGGCTCATGCCTATACGTGACCGCAGCGGTCAGAGGTGGCAGCCCTCGGGCAAGCCGTACGTAGTCGCAGCGACCGAAGTTTGTTCAAGGTTCATTGGGACCTGCTGGCGCCTTAGTTTTTCAGTTGATCCGATCCTCCCTCTCGCCATGAATCCTTCTCCGGCTGGTCTCACTCCCGTGGAGGGCATCACGATGAGGGCCCAAACTATTCTACATCGAGAAATTCTTCACGTACATGGCCTGCTGATCCTCGCTATTTCACTCCTCCGTACTCGCTTTGCTATCCTCTCTCCCTCCTTTCTGGACTACATCACCTCACCACACCTTCAGGTACAGATCCGCGGACTTGATTCGGCAATTCGCCAGGCAACTCAGGCTGTTCATACCGGTTTGCACTACATTCAGGAGCTTCTCACTACCTTTGGCATGATTCACGCCTTGACCTACGACACTGCTCAAGTGGATGCCGAACTACGTGGACGCTCTACTTTTCCCGACCCTCGTCTTCCTCCTCCTCCTGTTCCTCCTCCTCCTCCTTTGGGCTCCTCTTCGACTCGACGTATGACATCTACCAGTTCTACTCCGGATGAACCATCGCTCCCTCCACCTCGGAACTCTGCATCACGCTCTACACCTGGCATTGTGGTTACTACTTCGAACCGCACTCTCTCCGCCGCCGAGATTCGATCTATTGCAACTCGTTCTCGCTCTCGGTCTCACCCTCGTTCGTACCCGAGGAATCTATAGACTTTTCCTCTGTCCATCGCGCCACCTACTGAAAATGTGCACCCACACTTCTCTTCCTCCTGTACTTTTACTTTCAATTTCACATTGCATATTTTTCTGACTTTTCCATTTTCTGACTTGTGACACAATATCTTGGTTCTCGCCTGTTATTTTCGCCTTTTTCGGCTTTCAGCCTTTCCTACGCTCTAAGCCCTTCCGGCCCCGCACGTTTCGTGTCGTCTCGCCGCCATGTCTTCATCGCCTACGACGACATCGACTCGTCCCACAGGATTGGCACCAGTTGCCGGCTTACCTCCCGCCGCTCATGCAGTACTTCATCGTGAACTTCTTCATATACACTCTTCTTTACATTTGATTCTCCTGATCCTACGTGGACCTTGGGATACCGTTACTCCCTCTATCGTGGACACGATCACCAGCCCTCATCTTCGTGCCACCCTTCGTGCCCCCGAGACAAGCATTGAACAGATTCGACGATCTCATTGGTTTACACGGACGAACTATGTGCTGCTTTGGCACTTCCACATCCTACTGGTCGCTTGGTCTCTTCTTCCCACTCCTTTTCCTCATCTCTGGCCGTCCCTCCCCTTATCATATCTCCTCCTTCTCCACCGTCGACGACTACAACGACGACTACCACTGACCCATCTCCTCCTCAGAATACTCACCCTCTTCCTCCTTCTTCGACCCCCACTTTGACATTGATACGAATGCCACGCTCTCGCTCACGCTCTCGTTCACGACCACCCACGAGACGACTTTAGGTGGATTTCTCACTTACCTGATCAATGAAGAGTAGAATTTCTAATTGCCAACCTTTTTGCAAACGCAGGCAGAGCTGCGCGTCCTTTCTCTTGGGCATAAAAAGGCCTATATTTCGCTTTTGGTTTCGGCAGAAAAGAGTCTCTTATTCTCCACACGTCAACTTGACTACCATGTTTGGACCTCTGCGACATTGATACACTATTACCTCTTGTTTTTCTTCACTAACCTTGGGCTCACTAGCGACCGCTCCTTTCGCCCCCCCCCTTCTTTGTATTTTGCCGCCTTCTCTGCCATGGCTTCGACACCTACACCACCTTGTGGTCTTGCCCCGATTCCTGGTCTTCCACCTCGCGCTCAGGCAATGCTACATCGTGAACTTCTACTCGTACATGTTCTCTTGGCTCAGATCCATTCGCTGCTGCACATCCCGCTCAGCATTCGTACCCTTCCATTTATGTATCGTGTGACACACCCGCAACTCCGAGCTCAACTTGAAGGATTAGACAACACGCTTCTTCTTGCCCTTCGCCTCAACCACACTGCCGTGCATTACACCCATGAGCTTCTCACTGCCTTGGGCCTCCTTCATATCACTCAACAGAGTCCAGAACAACTTGAAGATGAACTCGAAGGTCGCACGGACTTTGGCGATCGCGCATCCCTATCTACACTTCCTCTCCCTTCTCACTCTACTACGACTTCATCAAGAACTAACAGGACCCACAACACCGCTGACCGGATGCCTCCCTCTTTTGAACCTCCGCCCTCTCGCCTGGTGCCTCGGCCTCGCCTTCACATCCGCTCACGATCTCGCTCTCGACCTCGTTCGACCAGGTCCTAACTCATTCGTTTCACCCAGGACTTTGCCAGAAGGAAAATCGATGCTTTGTGTCCTTTTGATGATACTTTTGTTTTGCTTCATTATTGACCGCATCTCGGATTTGATTTGAACTTCGACTTTTTCTACTCCTTACCTATTCATACTGTCCTTTACGGGCTCAGTCTTGCGACATGACTACACATGAGATGACTACCCACCTTTTCTATCTCATCTACCGTTTCCTTTTCCATTTTCCATTTACACATCCTCTCCTTTTTCCTTTATTACTTCTTGACGATTCACGCTTTCCGGGCGACTTCCAACCTCCCCCCAACACGTTCCAGCTCCTGTCATTCCAACACCCATCGCCGCCGACAACGGACAGGACATCACACTTCCTCTCTTTCGGCACCTCGCGCTACCTCACACAGCACACCCGTCTCACCTCCTGCCTCAGTGCGCCCTCCTTCTGATCGGGCCTCTTCTGGGGCGCCAGCACTGGTACTACTACTACCTGGACCCGGTGATCGTCCACTTTCACAACCCACACCTCCAGGCTCCACCTCCATCTCACGGCCCACCACTCCACCTCAAGCATTTCAACCACCTCCTGCCGTTCCACCTCTCAGCACCCTCCCTCCCACCGAGGCGGAAGAACTTCGACAACTCCGCTTTCAATTTCAGCAACAACAACATGCAGCCCATCAACTTCAACAGCAAGCTCTCCTTCACTCCTCTTTCAATCCTTTCTTTTCCCCATTCCAACTTTACTTTCCACAACCCACACCATCCCCCTTGCCCATCCCCGCGGCGCCACCTTCCACCGCCACACCATTGAGCCCTCCACCAGCTTCAGCCTCCCTATCGGCTCCAGAACCAGAACCAGTTGAACCGGAACCAGCCGACCTCTCCATTTCCCTTTTCACATCTCAGGCCTCCACCCAGCCCCCGGCTTCCACCCTGGCGGCATCGACCAATCGATCTCCCGATCGTTCACTTCGACCTGAGACTCCCCCACGATTGTCTCTCCAATGGTCTCGGCACAGACCTGACTTTACCTCCCTGGAACATTCAGGTAAGCTGGTGTACCTCATGGACAATGTCATGGAGATCGCTATCGATTTGAGTCCTCAGAAACACATTTGGACCACACCTTTTTGGCTTCACATTCGCCCATCCGGCCCTGTTGACCTTTGGCACGAGATATGTGAACACCAATTTCACGATTGGAGTGCCCTTCTCTCACTGGTCGACAAGTACCGCAAGTACCTTATTGAGGATCCCAACCGTCCATTTAGTTGGGAAGAATGTGAAGCTCCTGAGGTCTTACCCCGCACTCTTGTGGACACCACCATCCAACAGCTCGTACGCCTACTACCAACACCCCTTCGTCGCGTCCCTGCGACTTCTTGGGGCGACCACTTCGGGGACTTCATCACCTCTCTCACCCACATTCCCCAGATCCTTGAGAAGGCGCCAGTATTTCTTTGGGGAAAACTTCCTTGCCATGATTCCCTGGTCTTGCTCCTCAAGCTGCACTATCCCAAGACCGAATACTTCCAGTGGACCCCACATCAGACCATCTACACCTTTGTTCACAACTGCCCTGGAGTTTCCATGCGAGGCATCCTTACGGATGGCGTCATTCGACCAAGCTCTTGGAAGGCCACACGGGATTCGGACTTCTTTCCCAGCCTGGGCTTCTACTGCCGCTGCTGCTATCCGGGTCACAACCATACCTCCGACAAACGGATCAACCCGGACATTACAAATCAGCTGACCCCGGAGCTTCAATGTGCCCTTCACGTGGCATGTGGATTTGGAGGCCGCTCCTCCTCCCGCCGGTACTTCGTGGCTGGAGAGTGCTTCTCCCGCCAAGCCCAGCGCTACGTTGTGCGCCCAGGTGGACTTCCATGTGATGCCATCGCCAGTCACTTCTATGATGTTGTGCGGAATCGTTCAGATCAGAGGTACAAGTGCCGCACTTCTTCCAGCCAAATTCAATATGCTGGTTTGTTCATCAGTACGGACGAATTGCCCTCTTACGGCCTTCGACGATCTGACATTCCACTATGACAATTTCGTCCACGAGTACCATACACTCCTGGCAGCGTTGCGACAATATGTCGCTATTTTCTGCCGCTGAAGCTGTCTTCCTGGAAGAAAAGAACGCCTGTTTACCACTTTCTTCTGACTTGGTTCCTTCCGGTTTCCTTTTCCTGAACCTTTACTTCTCGACTAATATCATCTACGGCCCTCTCCTCCTATTTCGGCTCAAGCTCGTGTTGGTCCCCTACTCGTTACCCTTCTGTCTTGTCTTACAACACGATGGAGGCTTCATTTTGGACTACCATGGAAACTCACCCCCAGCAGGCTCCGCTGGGGATCATCAACATTCTGATCTCACGACGCGCTTTGATGGATTCGATTTCTCATTCCTTGGAGGTACTATTTGAGATGCCCTACACCACTGACTTCCCCCCTCGCCTTCCGGCTGACCTGGAACAGCTTCTCCGTGATCTACATGCTTCTACGGAGCGCTTGATGGCCGAAGTCAGCCAGACAAATCAGCTACTGCATCGTCTCGCCTTGTACCCACCTCATGCTCTACCGACTCAACCATGGATGCCCAATGATGCCGCACTACTACCTCTACCCCATCCATATGGTCCGGCTTTACCCTCATTCAGGCCTTCATCACCTCACTAACTCTGACTCGGGCCACAAGCTGCCCTCTTCTGTCGATGCATCTATGTCAAAAAAGTGCTTTTGCTGACTATTTCTGTTTTATGTTTTCAACCCTTGTTCACTCCCTTTTCTTCAGAACACCCATTCCTCTGCTTTCTTTTCACTACTTAATTTTAATTTTGGTTTCTTTCCCATCTCCATTTCCTACCCTATCTACACTTCCTCACCTTTCCCTTTCTGCCACCACCGCAGCCGTTTGCCACTCAGATTGCCGCACACGTCTCTGCCTCCTCCTCTTTCCTCCCGTCCTTGACCTCATGGATCCTCCTCCCACGGGCCTACTTGCGGGCTCTACGGCTCCACCGCCACGACAGGCCGTATTCAATCCCTACCGCCTTCCGGTCAGTCCACCACCCGGGAACATCCGACCTCAACCACACCGCCAACCTGAACTTCTATGGCTCCACTGGATGGTCTGCCTTGCTGCTTGGACGACCGAGGCTCTTTGCGCCCACCCGATGATGTCTCAAGAGGTGCCACCTGACGAACATTTTCAGACTATCTCCGCCCGGAACATCTACATCCAGACACGTCGCGCTGTCCATGAGTTCAATGTTCAACAACGTCGGATTGCTCGTGGAGTGTCCCTTCTCCAACATGTTGTACCTCATCCTGATGAGAACACTACCTTTGGTCAGTATCGTGTCAACCCTAACGGCTTTATTCGCGCCTTGGGCACTCCTGAAGAGAATTTAGCCCTTGGGACTGCAGCTGATGAAGCTCTTTTGTCCCGACTACACTCGCATCGGAACCATGATTCAAATTCACCACCGGAATCACCTCCAACTCCCGCCACTCCGGCTACACCACCACACACCTGCCCGCTCTCGCACTCGTACGCCACCACCCAATCCTCTACTCCTATTACCAGATACCTCCACATCCACCTCTACCCCATGGACGACATCCTCCCGCGGTTCTACTCCCTCTACTCTCTCTTCGGCGCTGGATCGTTCCCATCAACGTCCTCTTGATGGACGCGGCCTTCTACATGGTCATCTCTGGCAAGCTACACGACACAGGACTCCTCCACCGGCATCGACTCCGGCTGATTCTACTGAGGTTCCATCACCACCTCCCCCAGCGCCTTCTTCGTGACTTTTATGCGGCTGCTTCATTAGTACACTTTTTGACTCAGGTGGGCGTGTCCAAAAACAGTGCCTTTATGATCTCACAGATGTACGCTTGACTGTTCTCCACCGCAGCCGCTGGCTCCTGCTACTTCTTCTGTTCTTTTTTCCGATTCTTCACCCTCCTCGATGATTTCTTCCCCTGGTCTTCGTGTACCTGAACCTCTGACACAAATGATTCCTACATCACGTACTTCTTGGCGTGAAGTTCGTCAACCCTTTGAAACATTGGACATGGTACCCGACCTTGACACCGTCAGATTTGAATTGGATATCAGCTTGTTGGTCTATCAACCCCTCAACTACATCACTGTGACTCTTGACTGGCAACAGATTGACACCAAGGAATACACCGTGGACGATCTCAAAGATGTGATCTATTCTCGCTTAGGTCAGAATCGTACGGCCTTTTGGATGGCCCTTCCCTCGACCGGTGATTCACGAGTTTGGGAAGTCCCACACACATGTACTCTTGAAGACCTCGTCCTCTACTTTGTCAACTCGCGACGGGTACGAACACTGGGATCGCCACTGAATACCCCCGCGACTCCGTTCCTTTTCCCTATCGACCTCTCCACACAGTCGCTCCCCCCCTACATGATGACGCGATTGGTCAACTCCGACTACCACTGACTGCATACCAGACCTACCGTGAGATTCGTCAATTCACCTAGTCTCACCCCACCTTTGGCGCGGAGCTTAAAATCTTGCCTCCCTTCGGGGAGGCGTGTGTGTGTGTAACCCTTGGAATCATAGGGATCCTTTAGGATTTTCAGGTTGCTTTTCCAGTTTATGTCATAGCAGGGGGTGCAAGCAGCCCATCCAGTCTTGCACCAACGAAGACACTGGATGTGTGCTGGTGAAATCAATCCGGGACGCCGGATTGACGTACCTGCTTGGAAAGAAACCTACTTAATGGACAAGCTGTTCCAATTCTGTGTTTTGCAGTAAGCGGCTAATGCAGCGGTGATGAACTTGGCTTTTCTGCACGTACGTCGTCACCTTGTCGTCCACTCGATCGGTGTTTTTCTTTTGGAATTGCTGGCCACCTGAAACCTTGGGACCTCCGCTGGATGGACCTCCTCTTCCTTTTAGGTTTCTTTACCTGTACCCTTAGGAATTGGAACCCTAGGCCGGCGTGTGGCACCGCTTTCAGTTCAGTACACCCTATCCTAAGTGTGTGTCGTTGCTGGTAGAGTCACGGAAGCACTCCCAGCTGTTTGAAGTTCAGGCTCCAAGCAGTTTGTATCGAACCCAAGTAAAACATCCGGTATAACTGTACCCATTAGCGGGGGGACCTGAAAAATGTGTAACTTACATTCTCCGCTCATCTCCGCTCCAATTCCATGGTTACGGGTCTCACCAATACCCGTCTTCTGTTCCTTTGCCACCTTGAATACAAGATTTCATAAGACTTCCAGATCAAAAGGGGTTTCTCTCGCGTGGGAACCCACCCCCTGGCTCCTCATGGAGATAGGTGTGGGAATTGTCATTGGTGCTGCACCACGCGTGGGGGCGGTTGCATGCGACATAGCCGCCCAGCGTTTCATTCGCTGCGGCAAAGGCCACACTGTCTTGAACCTGGCACCGACGTAGCAAACATATGATGTGAAGCATCACCTCGTTAGTAGGTTGGATGCCATTTAAGTTTCCCTGGAAATCTAGGAACCCAATCATTGGTGCGAGCGCTTCTTCAAGCTTCCCCCGCCGCCGTTGTGAAGCATCACACTGCGCGATCGGACACCACTGTACTCGACTTCGTCTTAAGCGGTCGGAAGCCGCATTCAATCTCCCCTCGACACTTTGGACACCGAGCATTCAACGAACATTCAACGGACTTGTGGGGTGCCCCCCAAGTCCGTTAAGACTTTGGGTTCCGCAGCGAAGACGAGAACATCTTGCCCCGTTGTTGTTCTTCATTTTGTTGCCCTCGAGAGCTGCCTGCGCCTCCTTCAGGGTGATGGCCACGGCGGCCACGGTGGAGGACACGAGGAGGGCGATCTTCAAAGCCATTGCGCCGTTGCGACTGTGGCCGCTTCGTTGAACGACAAGCTGCTGCAAGCCGACAGCTGCGAGCTCCAAAGCGCGTGGGATGTGTTTTTTTTTGCGAAAAAAGCTGCAAGTGCTGCATAGTGCTGCCACTGAGCAAAATTCCATTGGTATTTAGAGAAAGAAGAAGCCAGCATATCCAGTGGCCACCTTGCCAGTTGGATAGTAATTTAATTGTGATCATGCTCGTTCAAACACAGTTGTTACAACGTCACAGCACTCGATGAGCACGAGTCCAACTCTAAAACAATTTATGCTTCAAAATCTTAGTGGCACCCTATCTTCAGCTTGCGTTTCCAGCATCATTTCTGGTTGCGTTTAGGCAAATCACCCTTTGCACCATACATTGAAATCAGTTTGAAATCATACAACCCGAGAGTCTTGTTGAGAAAAAACACTGCCTCGCCTCCAGCCGCCTTCTTTGGTGGCGGAGGCGGCGGTTTGACGTTGGGTGGTAGATCCTTTCGCGAAGAACCACACGGAGTTCCGCGATCCACCTTCATGGCCTGTCTTTCTGGCCCAAAATTTGGATGAGCAATCCAAGAACACCCACTGCATGTGGGTCAAATAGGGAGACCGCCCAGGCGTTCCGACCCCTCGAAGGTCCGGAGACCAGTCTACCCACTGCGACAGTCAGGGGCGGGTTGGGTGTTTCTTTCCAGTTCGACTGTGTCGCGGATCGTTCACCCTGGCCCATGGTCTCGTCTCCAGCTTTTTGCAGAGACGAACGGACCGGTCGGTAGGAAAGCAAAGGCCAAAGAGATGTCATCGCGAGCCGTTTCCTTTCGCACTGCAGTTTCATGCAGTTTCCATTCTTTTAACTTTGGAGAGTTAGGAGAATCCGCAGCCTTAGTCACTTGGTCAACAATGGAAGTACACATGGAATTCTGGGAGTAACCTGTGACCAACCCAGTTGGTGCAGGGTTTTTGGTCCTTTCCAAACCAACGGAACCAACGGAACCAACGCAACGAGAGAGACTGACCCCTTGACATCACCGTACCCCCCGCCCGGTCTCGCGTGGCGGGTCCACGTGGCGGGTCCGCGTGGCGGGTCCATGTGGCCTGCAGGCCGCCCGTGCTGGGCGGTGCTTTGCGGACGTCGGCACCGGCACCCACCTGAGCGGGCCGGCCACGGGTTCCAGGTCAACGGCGGAACGGCGTGGTGTTCGGCGTGGTGTTCGGCCTCGTGTTGGGATAGAAACGATGGTTTAAAGAACCTGCAGAAGCTGCGGGTGATCAAGTTTCGCAAGCAAGAAAGAACACACAACCTAGATCTTAGAGCTAATCATACTACAAAACAACGGAAAAAACAAAACACATGGCATTTGCACTTGTTTCCCACTTATCCATAGACTGTATACCGTATGTTCCACAGGTTCCACACCTCGTTTCACACGAAGGTGTCCCGCCTTCGGTGGTGGCCCCGGTGGTCGCCGGTCTGGCCGCTCGGGAAGGAACTGCACGTCCTGGCCGCTCGGGGCTCGGCATCGAGTGTACCTTTTTGGCGTCGAGTTCGGCGAGGTTGGAGAGGTTGGGATCGATGTCGCACGAACATGGGGGACAGGGCTGGATTCGTGAATCGCTAGTTGAAGCTCCCTTCCAAATGGATCAAGTGGTTGCTTCTGACACCCTGTGCTTCTGACACCCACGTGCGGCACAGCGCGAGCAGGTGATGCGAGGTGCCTCCATTGAAGGCCGCCCCTTCGGTGCAGGTCCCATCACAGCGGTCCCATCGTTCGGCACCTCTGCAGCCGGCGGGACTACCGTCGGGAGGACAGTGATTTTGCGCATGGGGAATATGGCGGTTCGGTCCGGGTTGGAGGCCGAAACTTCGATTTTGGCACCGACCTTCTTGATCAGATTGCCATTTGGTCTTCCATTTGGGAGATGTTCTTTTCCCCATGGAAAGTGTGCATTTTCGAAACTGGAAAGCTTTGAAAAGACATGGACAAAAAGTCCGATGATGCTTCCGAAGGCTGACGGCTGGATGCTTCCATGTTTTCCCTGCCTGTTGAGGCGCCTTGGCTAAGAAACCCATCTTCATCATCTGTTGGGCAAAGTCCGCCTGTTCAGCGCGTACTACTGCGGCGCAACTCACCACCATCTGTCCAACCATCATTCTGTAGATCATCGTACTACTTCTTCACTTTATCTTGATCTGGGCCATCTGGGTGAGCTTTTGGGCAAACAGATTGGCAAACCCAAGACAACAAAAAAACGTCTCGGTTGAACACTGTGGTTCTTGGCAGGTGGCTGCCCAGTTCTTCTTGGCATCAGTAGGGCAACGGGTTGCGGCGCTTGCCGCGCCCGGGTGCGGCCTGTGATTGTGGAGCACCACCACCTTGGGAAGCGAGGTCTACACCGGTGGAGAGCCACTACAGTAAGCCCTTCTGGTCCGTCCTCAAGCGAGAAGTTACGTGCATTCTGAAACATATGAACACGTCTGGATCTCGAAAATCACATGTCAAATCCAAGTGGAACACACAGAAACGAGACACAGTGGACATATGTACATGTCAAATCCAAGTTCAATTGTCAAATATCATATCCCAGGCATTCCAAGACCATGTAATTATGGAAGATATGCCCACATTACATGGATGGTCGGGGTATGACCATTATACAATTATGACAATCTTTCATCATTTCCCCTTTCGAGAAAGTTTGCGTCAAGAACTTGTCCCACTTAGGTCACCCGATCGATCGGGCATCCAAGAGAAAACAACGAATACGTTTAAGTTTGGAGAAATCAACAACGACATACGTTTGCGAGGCAGGTCGGAGGCGTTTTGTTCGGCTCTTTTTGATTGAGACATGTTCTGCACCCGAGGGTGGCAGCAACACACTCAATGGGGAAAACCACAGGCGCCCACCTGGTCGCCGGGTGGGCGAACGCTGCTTGACCTGGGGCGTCTTCGTTGTGGACCTTGCGGGGAAACATCCCCCCCCGCTGCACTCAGCAGTCCCATGGATGCCAGCGACCGTGCCGCCAGCCGCCTGCCCGCCCTCCACAACCTCTCCCATGGCACCGCAGGCCCTGCAGGCCAAGAGTTGTTTCATCCTCCGAGGAACAAAAACTGGGCAGTTTGGGCATCATAGGAGGGCCACGCCTCAGCGAACCGCGTGCGTGCGGCACCTCGCGATGTGCTCGGACCCATCGCACCCACGCATTGGCACCCGGGTCCACAGGCGTTGGATCGAAAAGGAAAAGGATGGCGTTCGACCCACAAAATCACAGACATAATTCTTATGCAACATGCAATAGCATGCAATAGCATGTCACTAGCTAGCAAGTCTAGCCTCTGCCGTAGGTTTGTACCAGGTCCTCTAGTGCGAAATCTCCTACCGACCGCCATCTACACAGGTATTGGGCTCCCGGACCCGATGCCTGGCATTCAGAGCGAATCAGGTGGAGAGCGACGGGACTGTTTTCTGCCGAATTGGACATGGGAGCTGTCGAACATGTGAGCAGCTTGAAACATCAATGCATATCAACACTGTCCCAGCTCCCAACAAAAAAGCAATCAATTGTGATGTCGGATATGTCTTAAGAGAGGTTCAGAAGCAAATCACAGGAGGTGCAGCCGCTTTGTGGCCCACGGCTGCAAAAAGGTGTCTCAATCTTTTTTGCTTCGTGCTACCACGTCCTCTCCTCTTGCTCTACGGAAGAGTTCACTAGCTTTGGCTCTCTCCGCCTTGACCATGGACGCGGCGAAACTCTAATGCGCCAGCGACGGTGTGGATGGCATCCAGTTGATGCTTCGAACACCTCTGCAAGTGAAGAAATCGATCTTCAGATAGGATCCTGGAAGTCCCTCGGCCAGCCAAGTGTTCTTGGCCATTCGCTGCTCATCCCCTGATGGGCCATAGATCATGGTGAGCTTCCTGGAACACTTGTCCTCCGCCGGATAGATCACTTCGTTCTCGTTCCTAGCTGGGGTGTTGAACAGGTCAAACAGCCTCTGTCTGTTACCACAGTGTACCACTTCTCTGCTTCTCTGCAGCGCTGCGACTTCTACTGGTATCCTCTTGCAGCACTGCTCTGTCACTGCCCCTTGTTCATATAACATCATAATCATGCGCTTCTAGGTGCCACAGTACAATAACATACAATAACCATTGATATGAACCTTCTTCCTCTTCATCCTCCCCATAATTACCAGGTATTACCATGTCTAGCAGTGAATTGGCTGGTCGCTCCAACACTCCCTACACCCACCAGGCGACCCTTTTCACTGTACCCATCTCCAACACTCCCGGCCCCAGAAGAAAAGACAGGGCTCACTATATGTCCTCTATAAACATCACTTTTGAGTATCTCTTCTGGCATACTAATGGAAACTACAAGAACTGTCGGTCGATCGACTCCAAGCGTCACGGCTTCTTTACGTGTCAAACGGACGGGTCCAACTCCCGCCGAGGGGCCCGTTCTTGAGGAGACGGAACTCCACTTGCCCACTCGCGGGGACCTTCACGGTGATCGTTCTCAAGCCCGTCACCGGGCCGTCCTGAAACGGAGCGGTCGCCGCCGAACGCGCCGAGCGGGAGCGGTTCGATGAGGTCGTAGGGTCGAAGGAGGTCGAAAGGGGGGAAGATCTGAAGACACCAGGACCCGGTAGATGGGGTGTCTATTTATAGCCCCTTGGCTGTGATTCGGAGTGTCCATTAACCACTCCTATGCAAAGGTGCATCGCTACTAGGAGCAAGGGCCTTACTACTAGGAACAAAAAGCTATCAATTTTTATTCTAGCTTCTTGTTACTACTAGCGATGCACCTGTTACTACTAGCGATGCACTTTGCTCCTAGTAGCTTCTTGTTACTTCCTATTTGGGATCCTTCGTCCTTCAACCAAAAAACGACCGCCCGCTGTGGCGGACCCTCGATTGACCGCAACGCAGGTTTTTGGGATCGGCGTGATGCGATGTCTCCTCAAGTTGTTCAACTTCCCAGTCGTTGAACTGGCCTGAGATGCCTCAGATCTCCAGGTGAGCGTTTCAACTGCTTTTCTTGGGGCCTAGCAGGGCCTAGCGGCTGGCCTGGTCCAGTGGCCGCTCGTTTTGCGGTTTTTCGACCGAGTGAACATGGATGGCTCATCCAAGTGGCAGTAGACGTCCTCTTCTCCGTCATCTGGCTCTCCTGCCATCTACCCGACACAGTCAGGACATGGGCGACTGAAGCGCCATGTCACAGCCTTTGAAGAGTGAAGTTGGAGACCTAAAGCCTGCTAAAGCCTGCTAGACTTACCCCGCTGAAAACTAACATGGAACCTGAAAACCACTGGTTTGTAGCGGAAAACAGTCTTTCAGGGTGCCATTCTCAGGGTCTATGTTGGTTTTCGGGAGTGTATTGTATGTGAACAGGAACATCATATTCATAGCACTGTTGACATGTAAAACAAGTCGGTGAAAAAAAACCCAAGAACATCGCATGTCACATGGAGCATCATCGAGTCGAAACGCCATGACCCACCAGCCTTCGCCCCCGAGCCACATCTGAAGGTCCGTCCTCCAGTATCTTCCTTGAACCATCTCTGAGGCGCGTTCGCCGGATCATCTGGGTTCATTTCAATGGAATACTTGTCGCCCGGCAAGATCAAGACGTCGGGTCCATCCCAATCCCACAGCGCCTCGTCCCACGGCTGTGCGTTTCGGGTCCGAAGCACCGAGGGAAGTTCGGACGGTGAACCGCCACATGGTCGTGGGTCCGGTTCATGGTCGGCCCCGAAGTCACGAGGTGGGGTTTTCCATCATTTGGAGTGCCGAGTGTAGAAGTGTTCCTTGATTATCCTTGATTTAGGTCCGTTTTATGCAGCAGAAGGGGATCGTTCTTGACTTAGAGCACGGAAGAAGGCGATGTTTCGGAATGTCCGTCTCCACGTCACTGGGGGGGGTGCAAGTTCCACTCAGGTTCAAAGACACTGATGCTATTGGACCAGTTTCAGCTCCTTTGTACTTCTCGACTCCTCTTCTCGTGCAATTGAACACGTGGCTTGCATGCAGAACTGAGGCAAACCCTCAATTAAAGCACCGACATAGAATGACATAGATGACATGTCCTGGAGTCCAATGACTTGACATGACTCAACATCACCCCGAAACACACCAACAAATCGACCAACTCCCCCGTCCACGGACCAACCCGAGAGTTCCCACCATACACCGTACGCCGAGGAGCTGGGTCGGAACCATTGACCCGAACCTCTGGTGGCGACATCTGCCGAATCCGCTTTTGGAAGAGCTCCGCATTCGTGGGGGCGTGGTAGACATCCTGCCGTCCCACTGAGGTAGACTCTGTAACCGGTCCCGCCGAACAGGAAGGTCCACGGTCCGCGAACAGTGGAGATTCGACGTCCACGCCCAAGGGCCCCGAGGGCGGAGTTCGTTATTTCGATGTTTTCAATCTTTTTACATACGGTGTTTGAAACGGAAGACTGGCAAACACTGAAGCTTCAGGTATTCCAATGCGATTCTTCGTTTTTTGCAGGGCTGCCGGGCTTGTGAACTGCATCGGGCTTGTCTTCAAATGGGAGAACCCTCCAGAAGCATCCAGAAGCGAGAACCAAGCCATTGGGATCCATTGGGCAGGTCTGACCAATACATATACACGGTGAGAACTGGGAGTCAGTGTTCTCCAGCGAAAGCAAGCTGAGTGAAACAGGTCGTGTGCAGTCACGAAAATCTGCCTTTTGATGATTCTTCACTGTCATGAAAGAGAGCCCCCCCTCCTTCACTCCAACACTCAACTTGCCCGCACTGGGGCAGGGAGCCGCCCGAGAGCCCCTCAAAGCCTGGTCCGCAGCTCGCCATCTGTCTGACTCTGTCCACCTTAATCCCGAAAAACTCTGTTCGCTCCGGTGCGAAGAAACACCCGCTCCTCGCCCTCGCGCGCGTGAGTGTGCGAACCCGCTCCTCGCCCCAGAAGATGGCATGGGCATTGGTGCCACCGAAGCCAAAGGAACTCACGTGGACGATACCCTGGGAGTAGTTGTAGCTACCCAACTCGCTGTTGAAGAACGCTTGAAATCCTGCGCGTTTACGCGTATATTCCAAATATGTCTGGTCATTTCTGGCTTTCTGGTCTCCCGTCTTCCTTGCTGTCCATATGGAATATTCTGTCTCAGGGATGCTTTTTCCTTACTATAGGTGAAACAAGTGACTGATTTCGATTCGCAATCAGTCTCATGAAAGGTGAGCTAGGAACTGACAGCCACAGCAGCAAAGCCACAATGACAGACGGTCTGTGCTACACCACAGGCCTGTGTGAATAGTGGAATAGTCTTCTTAACTCTCTGGTTCAAGGGCATTACTACTGGTAGCAAGAAGTCATTAGGTTGGAGGCCATTACTACTAGTAGCAAAAAGCTATTAGGTTGGAGGCCATAATTCAGAACCGTCCTGTGAATCATTCCGCATGAGACCCGTCATAGTGACGCACAGAACTCAGACTTGTCGAGCTGGGGTTATCAAGAGCGGATTCCTGCCTGTCTGATCCAAGTGCGGGTTGAGCTGTCGCAGATGGCATACTGGGACTGCAAGCGATGATTTCACCTGCATCAATGTGTTCATGGATCAACATGATCATGAACACAGCACTTGTGGGCAAATCGAGCTCCATTGTCACTCAGACCCAGATGGTGTGACAGGCATCTAGCAACATATCATCTTCAATGATCGAACGCCAATCGAACTGCTTGCGATGTAAACATGTCACCGTGCAACGAACCTGGAAGACGGCCGCGATCAACGAAGTCATCGCAGCACCACCCTCCAAGTGACCCGTCGTTGCCTTGTTCCTCAGACCACCAACGTCGCTTCAAAACCATCGAATTTGGGGGGATCGTTCGCGTCGTTCGCCGGCGTCCCCCACCAAAGCCAACTGGGTCACCTACGAGCTCCCGGACACTTCAGAAGCCAACTGGGTCACCGGACCTGGATGATGTGGAGGAATTCCACATCTTCAGCTGTTAGACCCTGCAAAAAGACCCGCATGGAACCTGAAAACCACTGGGTTGTAGAGGAAACTAGTCTTCCAGTCTCCATGCCGTCCGGCTCCATGTGGGTCTCGGGTCACCCCGGGTGTAGCTCCATGTGGGTCGCACATCCCGCACATC